AAAGATGTGGGGCATTATAGGCTAGAACACCCACATCTGGCTACAGACAGCGAAATGTGGTAAAGATGTGGAACATTGTGGGCTAGAGTACCCACATCTGCTTATTATTTTCTTCTTCTTAATCATGTGAGGCCGGTGAAGTTGAGGTTAAACTAGATGGACGGTGTACCCCCAACGTAATTTAGGTCTTACTTCCGCCAGTAACTCTAAAAACCAGGGCATATTACATGATGAAAAACCTTATGATTTGTGCCCTGGTGTTGGATGTTTGTATTGTGGCTGCGATTTTCTCTCTCTCTCTCTTATGAACTTACATTTAGTAATGTTGCATCTAAGGTTTGAATATGCTGCGTATAATTCACGCTATTCTTCCTTGTGATGTATTCTCTTCTTTAATGCCCCCCAGCGGCACAGCAGTATGTCTGCGGACTTACAACGCTAGAAACCGGGTTTGACACCAGTGGTGGGCAGAGCAAGGATAGCCCATTGTGTAGCTTTGTGCTTAACTAAAACAAAAAAAACAGCAATCTTTTTACTTTTTAGCTTTTCTAAATATATATATATATATATTTGGTCGTCAAGAAATTAATATCCCTTTTTTAGATGAAAAAACCCGAAGAACTTATATATCAAAACAAAACATTTATTAAATGAAATAATCTCCATTTTTATCGATGATACTTTTCCATCTTACAATCAGGTTGTTAATGCCTCATTAAAGAAATCACTTGGCTTTGAAGCAAAGAACATGTCGATGTTCTCTTTAACACCTTCCACACTTATATATGTTTTCCCATTAAGATGGTGTGGCAACGAACGAAAAAGATAGTAATCTGATGGTGCCATATCTGGAGAATATAGTGGGTGGGGAAGAACTTTCTAACCCAACTCCATAATCTTGTGTTGCGTCAAACGTGCCACATGTGGATGTGCATTGTCGAGGAGAAGACGAACTCTGTTCCGATTGACGAGTGAAAGGCGTTTCTGTTAAAGGGCTTGATTTAAACATTCCAGTTGTTGACTATAGACCTCTGCATTGACAGTTCTCTGTGGATTGAGAAGTTCGAAATGAATTACTCCATTGATATCTCACCAAATCCAAAGCATCACTTTCTGCGGATGAAGTTTAGGTTTTCGGGTCGGAAGTGGTTTTTGTCTACGACTTAGCCATTGCTTTTGGCGTTAAATATTCGCATAGAGAATCCATTTTTCACCACCATTGACAATTCTGTCCAAAAATGGTTCAAGCACCAGAAGAGATGAAGCAACGTTCACACGTTGGAAACTATGATCATCGGAAAGTTCGTGAGGCACCCAAACACCTTCTTTATGAAGTTTTCCCATATTCCTTTGATGTTTACATATTGTTTCATGTGAGACACGTAATTTCAGGGCCATTTCACGAGTATGTTGCCTTGGGTTAAGCTCAACAAGCGTCTTCAGAGTATCAATATCAATTCCAACATGTCAGCCACTGCCATCACAGTTTTTAAGGCTAAAGTCACCTGAACGAAATTTGCTGAACTGTCGTTGACACTTACGAACGTTCGAAACATTTCCATGCCCTTCTTTGATATTCTTTGTGGCTACAGAGGCGTTGTTTCCTTTCTTGTATTCAAACAGCATGACATGCCGAATGTGTGTGCCATCATTATAAGGGATTAGAGTATACTAAACTTTACACATTATATAAGCTAGACTAACGTGACGTGTTGGCGGTTCGTTTAACAATTATACGTGATGTACGTTGTTTTTTTTTGGGGGGGGGGTAACGAAAGTGTTCCAAAACGCGACATTAATTTCTTTATGACCTAATATATATATTCACTTATATATTTTATCTTCTTGCTGTTAAGGATAAACTACACAATGGACTATTTGTGCTCTGTCTGCCACGAGTATTGAAGCCCGATTTTTGGCAAACTTACCGCTGATCCACCGGGAGGTTCACAAATATTAAGAAAAAACATAGTCCATTAATTAGTAAAACGTCATGATTTGATGTCGACTTTAATATTCTAGGTAAACGCGAGTGGCCCAAAAATATGTAAATTAGATCATAATAACAATAAACCCTGTAAAATCAAAGTGTAAATGCTTTGTGTATGCTTTGTGATATATATTCATTAAAATAATGTAAACATTTATAGAGAAAGGTAGCGTAATCGAGTGGACTTTTTTTTACAGGAGAACAGTTCAAACCACATTCCTCAATGTACGGGCGTCTAGTCACCCAAGATCAACTCGCTGCCATAGGAACGGGGACCCAGGATACTGGTCAGAATGATCTGGTGTCTTTGCAGAACCGAGTTCTTTCTAAAAACAGAGATCCAACTTGTGCTCCTCTACGAAAACTTAGCGTTGATCTGATCAAAAGTTACAAGCATATAAACGAGGTATGTTGATGTTTCCAACCACAGGACATTCATTAGTACACCCTTTCATATGATTATTTTACTGTCCTTAAGAATTCTTAACATGCTTTTTCCTCCTGATTATTTTACTGTCCTTAAGAATTCTTAACATGTTTTTTTTCCTTCTGTTTATAACTAATTCAGGGTACACAATAACGATCGCTCATTTCTTATTTGTGACCGGACAGTTTTACGTATGCTCGGTCAATGTTCATAACTTCAGATGAAGCTATATGTATTTGAACTAAAACGTAACGTCCGAGTTAATGAGACTAACATATACAGTATATATGTAGTCTCGTGAATCTGTACACAGTAAAATTTTAAACACTCAATGACTTGAATATATTAATTCATCAGTTCGGTGTCATCGCTTTTAGCAGTATTTTCGGTCGTGATCCCAAAAAATATCCCACGATGTTCGACCAGCTTAGAAGATTTAGGTTTCTAAATATATGTACTACTTTAACAATGCGATATAACAATCACAAGCCTGAAAATTAATAATGATGACAACAATTGTTTAAAATAGTTTGTAACATTATAGCCAATAATATTAAGGAAATTAACTCTATTTTATTATTCAAAGTATGTTATTACTTGTATAACCATATTTATCCGTTGAATAGTTCTATAGTTAAATAAACAGCCATTGTTTTATTTATTTTTCCATGAACTTCAAAATTCACGTTCACGAAACTGATGAAATTTGGTATTAGAGATTTGACTGACCATGTTGACAATAATAAACATCGCAATGACTTGTTTAAAACTGCTTGATGATAATTTGGGACGATGGTTGTTATACCTATAGGCACTATAGTAACGTATGCATTATGTTACTGTAACACACTACACGTTTATATACGTTGTCTTTGGCATGAACAAATTGGAAATGACTTTTGGAATACCAAGTATATACAGTAATCACCACCTGTTTTCAAATCATCAAGTTGTCGTTACGTGTTTTCCTAATATAATATTGAAATATTAAAGTGCTTTATACGTTCTCTGACTATTTTTCTTAGTTTGTTTGTAGTTAATCACAAAGCTACACAATGGGCTATCTGTGCTCTGCTCACCACTGGTACCGAAACCCGCAGACATACCGCTGTGCCACTGGGGGGCTTTTTCTTAGTTACAGTGAGTATTGATATTAGCTGTAATTCTGTTTGATAATGGGACTGGGCCAGGACTGTGATTCACAAAATCCAATGCTGTTGCCGCAGAAACGCGCTCCGCACTTTTGTGTCGTGGATACGCTATAAGAACAACGGTCAACTCCGACTATTTGATCAGATAAATATAGCACAAGGGTTCGTAGTGGGTGCCTTCCCTCTGATATGTCAGTTTTAAGTTATGGGTGCTTATCTGCAGGTAGCCCGTGTGTGGTTTTGCGCGAAATCCTGAAACAAAATATTTTATATCTACTAAAAAAAAATCATGTTTCTAAAATGGAAGATAATTAAGTAATACATATTGTGTTCTTGTTACTTAATTAAATGGGTTTACGTAACATACTGAGTTGTAATAAATGGCAATGTGGGTGCATCATAGGGTTGATCGAGGGCGTGGGGTACCTTACTCTATATGCATAGTTCATCAACTATTAGTTTATCAAATGGCCAAATGCAGCAGGTCGAGCTTACCGTGGCATTTTTTATGCTGAATAATTCTTCACGAGAGGGAGCCACTTTCTACTCAATAGATTCTTTTTTTTTTAACAACATAACCTTGTTTGAACATTGGCACGAATAAGGTGACAGACAGTGTCCAGAACACTGGAGACTGGAGACAGAGATAAAAAGATCCACTGTATCGACTGGTACATAGTGGTTATCCAGAGAGGCCAATGCCTCGTACTGCGCTAGGCAAGAGCGGTTGACACATCGTTCCTCTATAGCTGTCTAACAGATGAGAAAAACAGATTAAATTATTTTGGTTTAATGTGGGTTTAGTTTTCTTTCATTTTAGTTATCAGTAACCGTTTATGTCTTAGCTGTAAACATGTAAATAACTTGTTTTTATCATCAGTTTCAAGGTCTTTTTTATGTTGTATTAGTACCAACACATTTTAATCTCTGGGGTTCGTTCGTGTGATAACATTCAAGCTCTTAAGATATCGTATTAATTTGTGTTGAAAGTGGGGAATAATTGCACACTTTCATATAAAAAAAATTGTGTGTTTGTTTTTTTCACCTTATACCAGGGAAAAATCGTTACATTATCTCTGAATATTTTAAACATTATGTGAAAGAAATGCATTTGTCATAACTTGGAATGTCTTGTCAGTTAATGTATGTCTTGTTTAGGATTTTGGAAAAGGTTCAGAAACTACATTTCTAATCTAAGTAATTTATATATAATCAATTAAGATTATTGAATAATAAAAACAAAAGTTTCGAATTAGCTCAATTAGATCTCATATTTAATCTTTATGGGCTATGTTGTCGTGCTATGTTTTAAAGATTTCTCGGGACCCTCTGGTGACAAGAAAAAGGCTTTCGATTATTTGACTCTGAGGTAATAATAAATTTCTGACTTGGAAAGAGCGTGCCGATGACAGATGACGTGCGTGTTTCGGCTATCTTCGCCAAAAGTCCCTAATTTTGCAGTGATTGGCTAGAAGGAAGGCAGCTAGGAAACACTACCCATTACCAACTCTTGGGTTGCTATTTACCGACAGATCATGGGATTGAGAGTCACATTATAACGCCCTCACGGCTGAAAGGGCGAGTATGTGTGGAGACGGGATTCGAACCCGTGACTCTCATTTAGAGCACTCAGATTGCAAGTCGAGTGCTCTAACCCTCCAAGCATGGATGCCCGCAGACATTTTTTTAGGGGTAAAGTTTTCCGGGGGAGGAGGGCAGCTTAGTGTAAAATTGTGAATTGAATAAAAAAATTCGTATATATATACGCTGAACGAATAAAGAAATAATTATGTTTCTACTTTTCCAAGGGGCAAGTGCCCCCCACGGACGCCCATGCCTCCAGGTCATGCTAGGCCCATTATATAACGGGAATTTATATTGAGAATCGGTTATCTACTGTTTCTATTATCATTCATTCAGATATCAAATTGACCCAGCGAGAAATGTTTTACTCTACGTATAACGAATTACTTATTTTT